AGAGTAGGAACATCAGGAATTCAAGGTCATTCTTGATTATATATGGAGTTCCAGGCCAGCCTGGGTTACAGGCTGAGGGGGGCGGGGAGGGGGCACCCTCTTCTGGCCTTCCCAGGCACTGCGTGGTACATAGACATACATGCAGGCAAAACCCACAAACATGAAATAAAAATAAACAAGTAACTCCAGCTCTAGGGGGATTCTACACTCTCTTCTGGCCTCCGAATACATGAAGAGATGCATAAATAAACATAAAACAAGTCTTTAAAAGAGAGAGTTCTCTATGGGCTGTGGTGGTAGAAGCCTTTAACTCCAACACTCAGGAGGTAGAGGTAGCCAGAGCTGTTAACACAGGGAAACCCTGTCTTCAAACTAAACAAACAAAAAAAGAGTTCTCTCTCTCTTTTTTTTTTTTTTTTTTTTTTGGTTTTTCAAGACAGGGTTTCTCTGTATTGTTTTGGAGGCTGTCCTGAAACTCACTCTGTAGACCAGGCTGGCCTCGAACTCACAGAGATCCGCCTGCCTCTGCCTCCCGAGTGCTGGGATTAAAGGCGTGTGCCACCAACGCCCGGCTAAGAGTTCTCTTTTTCAAAGACAGGGTTTCTCTGTGTTGTTCTGGCACCCTGGCTGTCCTAGAACTCACTTTGTAGACCAGGCTGGCCTGGAACTCATGGAGATCTGCCTGCCTCTACCTACTGTGCTGGCATTAAAGGTAGACACCATCACTGCCCTGCAAAGAGAGACAATTCTTTGCTTTTCTTTTTTTTTTTTCTTCAGGATTTATGTTATGTGTGTTAGTGTTTTGCATGCATGCATGTCTGTGTGAGGGTGTCAGACGCCCTGAAACAGGAGTTACAGACCGACCGTGTGAGCTGCCATGTGGTTGCTGGGAATTGAACCTGAGTCCTCTAGAAGAGCAGTCAGTGCTCTTAACCTATGGGCCATCTCCAGCCCCTGAGAGAGATTCTTGTAAGTCCTAACACTGTGCATAACACATTACATATCATTTACAGTGAATGTAAACAGTAATAGCTGGGTTCAATGGTGGTGGACACTTTTAATCCCAGCACTTGGGAGGCAAAAGTTCTCATGAGTTTGAGGCTAGCCTGGTCTACACAGTGAGTTCCAGGACAGCCAGGGCTATGTAGAGAGACCCTATCTCAAACAAAAATCAAAATAAGTACACAATAATAAAAAAAACACTATGTTCGCATGGTTCAAAGTTTAGAAATAAGTGAGGGGCTGGGTGTGTGGGTCAGTGCTGGAATGCTTGCCTGGAAGGAACTGGTGCTCCCGGCTCCATCCATCTCCTGAACCCCTCCCTGAAGGCAGCCAGGGTTTAGTGCACATAGGAGCAGTCAAGCACTCACCTTGCCTGCAGATGGTAGGAGAGCATTCTTGGTGCTCTCACCTTGTCTAATGCTGACCCTTGACCTCAGTCCACATGGAGGCATGAAGAGCCAGCGTGCTGATGTGGAAATACACCATGCTTATCAACTAGCTGCCTACCAGTGAGCATTTACACTGTCGCCCGGTACTTACCGCGACAGGGTTGTGTGGTCTCAACACGAAGGGTCTAATCTATACACACATCTGCACACAAGACGAAGGGTCTAATCTATACACACATCTGTACATAAGAGCCTGTCAGAAAGGCTACACCAATTCTAGCCTTAGCTTCCCTGGACTTGGGAGCTTTGAACAACTGAAATGTGCCCTTCCAGTCTGGGGGTCTGAGATCGGGTTAGTGGGTCAGGGCTACATCTCAAGACTTCATCTCAAAAGTGAGCAAACTCGGGGCTGGAGAGATGGCTCAGCAATTAAGAGTAGCAGGTGCTCTTGAAAAGGGCAGGGGTTTGGTTTCCAACACCCACAACCATCCTAACTCCAGTGCCAGGTGATTCAATGGCCTCTTCTGGCCTCAGAGGGAACCAAGCACGCATGTGATGCACACACATACATACAGGAGAAAACGCTTAGATGCGTAAATCTTTTTTCAAATTTAAATAAACAAGACATTAGCAGGGCACCACAGCCTCTGTAAACTCAGACAGAACCTTCTTCTAACTTCGGGCAGCTACAGGCGACCCTTGCTGTGTCGAGTCCTGAAGATGCACCACTCCCATCTGCCTGTGTGTCTAAATTCTCCTTTTCCAGTAGGGACACTGGTCATCCGAGTAGTGACCCTCCAACTCAGTATGGCCTATCTTTTAAAAGATTGATTTTTACTGTGTGTATTTGGGGGGCGGGATGTGTGTGTGTGCATGCATGTTCTGGTGTCTGCACAGGCCAGAGGCATTGAATTCCCTTGAACTAGAGTTACAGGCAGTGTGCACTGCTTAGTGTGTGTGCTGAGAACAACAGTTCAGGCTCTTAACCGCTGAGCCATCCTGACAGCTCCCATGATTCCAACTTTACTTGATTACATCTGCGAAGACCCTATTTCCTGGGCAATATAAACTTTTGGAGACACTGTTCTGCCTGGTCACAACCCCATTAACAGTGTTTGCTTGTGAACATGACCTTCCTTGCTGTTCTCTAGGGAGTCAGGTGGCAGACAAGGCTCAGGAATTAAGTTTGGTAACTGAACTCTGCTCCTCTCTAATAGGATGCAGTGTAAAGCCTGGCATCTATTGGGTTGTGTTGCTAGAGTTTTTCTTTCCCGCCAGGTCCCACAGCCACTTTTCAGCCCCAAATAAGCACACAGAGACTTATATTAATAATAAAACTGTTGGCTGATGGCTAGGACTTCTTATTGGCTAGCTCCGTCTTAATTATTAACCCATTTCTATTAATCTATGTATTTCCACATGGTCTTGACTTACTGGAGAATGCCTGGCATGTCCTATCCCCCCTTTTGGTCTCCCTCTGCCTACTTTTCCCAGAATTCTCTTCGTCTCCTAGTCCTGCCTATCTTCTTGCCTCTATTGGCCAAACAGTATTTTATTCATCAACCAATAAGAGAAACATATACAAAAGGACATTCCCCCATCAGCGATGTGAATGGGGACTGGCTAGTGTGGCAACTGGGAAGGAGATGAAGTGACACAGCTGTCCTGGACTAGGTTGGCTAGTCAGAGAGCCCCAGGGATGAACCTGCTGCTGTCTTCCCCACTCTGGCATTTCATCCTCAAGGCTGGCTTTTCATGTGGGTTCTGCAGCTTGTACGGGGGCCTGCAGTTAACTGATCTTCTCCCCAGCTTTCTTTCCCCCACTTTGGTGACAAGATCTCATATGTAGCCCTGGCTAAGCAGGAACTCACTGTGTAGACCAGGCTGTCCTTGGACACAGAGCTCTGCCTATGCTTCTCTATAGCACGGAGATTAGAGGTGTGCCAACCATACCCAGCTAGTGGCATGAGGCTTTGTAGACTACAGAGACGTTCAGTTTTTACCAAGCTACATAGGGGCCATGGGAGGACTCTGAGCTTGGTGGAACTTGACCTTAGTGCCTGTCCAGTTGCAGTGTGGAAATTAGACTTGGGAGGTGGGATGTGTATGCAAAGGTGGGCTCCGGATGCCAGGGAGAAGCTGGTGCTGTGACGGAGGTGGGAGGGATGTGGTAGTGGCGCAGGACATGGCTGGGGACGAGATTTGTGTCCCAGGTTGAGTTGTGCTGAGTTTGCGGCACGAGGAAAGCAAGGAGTCAAGAATGACTCTGTGGCTTGGCAGAACATCTGAATCTTCCCTCCAGCATGGAGGCAGCAGAGGCGCTGAGTTGGGTCGGTGGAGCAATGGATGGGAGACCGGGGATGGCTAGTGTGAAATTCACTCTAGGTACCGCAGTTGAAAACGTGACTGGGAATCAGGGACCATGTTTCAGAGTAACATCTTTACGTATCACACTGGCTTGTGTCAGGGATTTTAAATTCTCGTTTGTAAAACATGGAGAACAGGGCCTGGCCTCACTCATGTCCATCAGGGAGAGTGGTCCCTCTGCTGTGTGTGTGTTTCTTGCTAGGACCCACACTGGCTTTGAACTTGCACAGTCTTTCTGCCTCACCTTCTCCAGTTAGCAGGGAGAAGATTCCATGAATGTGCTACTCTACCTGATTCTTAGGGTCCTGCAAAAGATCCCACTTTAGCTTCTCATTCCTCTCAGGGATGAATCACTGACATCTTTCCCACCCCAAGGACAGGAAGGAAAGCCAACCCAAGCAATAAAGCTAAACAGTGGGGAGGCCTTAGACTCCTGACTTCCAACCTCTGACCATTAGTTTTTCTTTTTTTTTTTTTTTTTGGTTTTTCGAGACAGGGTTTCTCTGTGGCTTTGGAGGCTGTCCTGGAACTCACTTTGTAGACCAGGCTGGCCTCGAACTCGCAGAGATCCGCCTGCCTCTGCCTCCCGAGTGCTGGGATTAAAGGCGTGCGCCACCAACGCCCGGCTGCCAATATGGTTTAATAATCTTTTTCTTAAAGGGTTGTCCGTGGAAGCAAATGAGAATAAAGGACTTAAGCACATAGCAGGTCTAAGAACCATTTCTCTCTCAGGTTCCCCATGCTTCAATGGTCTAGGAGAAAAGGAAGAAAAAGTGTTGCTCATCTCAACTGTTTATTGAAAGGCGAGGCAAGATGGAGGAAGTGAGAAGCAGGGATTGGAAGGTACAACCTGCAGGGCACAAAGGTGGTGGGTAATCCTCTTTCCAGCCCCACCCCTCCAAGAAGCTCTAAAGGCCAGCAGAGGGCTGCCAGACACCGGATCCTCCCATTGTCCTGGAGCGCCCTCTAGTGTCCTACACGAGGAAGTCCTTCGGACTGGACAGCCCATAGGAAGAAGGGATGGGGCGGCCAGGAGAGCACATTTGTTAGGGTCAGGATCAGGCCCAGTGGGCATTGCTGCTCAGGAGGTGGTCTTTAAGGGGCAAATCAGCCCACTTTTCCTAATTCCTGGACTTTATATTTTTTATTACCTTTCTTTGTGAGTGTGTGGTGTGTGTGTGTGTGTGTGTGTGTGTGTGTGTGTGTGTGTGTGTATGGGGTCAGAGGACAATTAGAGGGAGCTGGGGTTTCTTTGTGAGTGTGTGTTGTGTGTGTGTGTGTGTGGGGGGAATCAGAGGACAACTGGAAGGAGCTGGGTCTCTTCTTCCACCTTGTAGGTCCCAGAGATGGAACTCAGGTTGTCAGTCTTGCCGGGACGGCCTTTCGCTCACTGGGTCTTTTCATCAGCCTCGAAGGGCAATTCTTGGTTGAATTTGCCCCTGTCCTGAGCAGGAGTGAGATTGGAGCATGAGACCTACTGGGGTGGGCGGGGCTCCGGGGAGACTGACACTACGAAGAGGAAGATGGGTGATGAGAGCAAGGAGTGCCAGGAGGGCCGCGTCTGATTTCTCTAGCCTTCAGACTTACGAGTCCCGTTGGGGCTGGCTGGTCTGCACAGAACACTGCTTCACAGGACTGGTGGGAATCAGGAGCCACGACTGACTGCTAAAACCATGGAAGCCAGGGGACAGCTGCTCGGGTTCATCGCGGAAGACCTCCACAGGGCTGCCAGCTTCAGTGATCAATGGCTCTGCCTTGATTTCTGGGCTCAGCCAGCCGGAGGTGGCCAAAAAGAGGCAGACAGCCAGCAGGATCCCTGCTACCCCGCACAGCGTGGCTCCTGCCACACGGCAAGTGATCAAGGCTTGGTTATAGTCGGCTACCGGATCATCCAAAGATGAGAACTTACTGTCGTTGACAAGCTCTAGTTTGGGGGGTACTGCATAGCCAGTAGTCAGGGCTGCCACACCCAGCAGGAGAAGCAGGGATGCCACAGACACAGTGACCTGAGGAGAGCAAACAGAACAGCAAGCATCCAGGCTCAGCCGGGGTCCGGGACCATAGGATCATGAAACAGACATCTCGCAGAGCAGAACATCCCTGTGGAACCTAACTGGCAGTGCTGGGGGCAGAACCCAGGACTTTGGACATGGTAGGGGCAGACACTGCACCACTGAGCCACAGCTTCAGCCCCTTTTTGAATTTTAGTTTGAGACCAGGTTGTGCTAAGTTACCCAGGATAGCCCAGAACTGTCTTATATAGCCCAAGATGGCCTTGAGCTAGCCTTCTAAGTCCTGGAGTTGCAGGTGTGTATTATCACCCTGGCAATGTTTTCCCTCAGTGGCAAAGCCAGCCTTGAGCCATTGTCTGGTCCCGTTTATTCTTACCGTGTGTGTGTGTGTGTGTGTGTGTGTGTGTGTGTGTGTGTGTTATGTACAGGAGGCTGCAATGGTACATGTCAGGGGCTATCCTCTGGTGTTGTTTCTTAGGAGCTGTTTATTTTTTGAAATAGGGTCTCTCTCGGGGCTGGAGAGATGGCTCGGAGGTTAAGAGCACTGACTGCTCTTCCAGAGGTCCTGAGTTCAATTCCCAGCAACCACATGGTGGCTCACAGCCATCCATAATGAAATCTGGTGCCCTCTTCTGGTGTGCAGATAAGATGTTGTTGTATTCATAATAAATAAATCTTTAAAAAAAAAAAGAAATAGGGTCTCTCACCTGAACCTGGTTAATTAGGCTAGGTGCGTTGGCCAGCAAGTCCCAGAGATCCTCCTGTCTCTGTCTCTCCAGCAATAGGATTAGAGTAATTTTTAAGTATTTATTTTTTTTCAGACATGATCTTTCTTTGTAGCTCTGGCTGTCCTGGAACTGGCTATATAGCCCAGGCTGGCCTCGAACTCACAGAGTCCACCTGCCTCTTAAGTGCTGGGATTAGAGGCGTGCACTGCCATACCCAGCTCCACCTGGAATTTCCACATGGGTCCTGGGGATTGCACTCAAGTCCTCGTGTTTGCAGGGCAAGCACTTGACAGACTGAGCTATATCCCCAGCTCTATGTGGTACCCCCTCTTTGGGAACCATCTTGCCCCATGATCCTTTGCTAGGATGATGCTCATGCATCCTCAAGTCTCATCTCAAGCCATCCATCCACTGAGATGCCTTCCAGGACCCTTCCAGCTTGGGCAGGTGTCTTTCTCTTCACACAGCCCAGTGCCAATTAGTCCTTCAGTGAGCCCACTTTTGGACATGGAATTTGGTTCTCAGGTGAATGCCTGCCTGTTTTACTGAAGTGAGCCTTCTGAGAGCAAAAGTTGAACATGTTTTGGCTCACTAGGTGTCTTGTGCTCAATGTAGTACTAAATACTAGTTGAACAACTAAATGGATCATGCACAAGAGTTCTTAAACTGGGAGGTAGGGAGAGGGCTCCATTGGTTAAGTGCCTTCCATGTAAAGACAAGTACCTGAGTTTGGATTCCCAGAACCTGTACAAAAAAAAAAAATCAAGCTTGGTGAGGGGTGTGATAGAGTGTGCCTGTAATCCCAGAGGCTAGCTGACCTCTGAGTTCTAGACCAGCCAGGGCTACACAATGAAACCATGTATTTTGGGGGGAAAAAAGCCAGGCTTGGCGATGCACATCTGTGATTGTACTGCCACAAGGGCAGAGATAGGCAGACCCCCAGAGCTCACTGACTGGCCAATTAATTGGGTGCCAAATTCCGCAAGAGACTCTGTCTCAAAAGATAAGGTGAGAACAACAGTAGAAGACATCTGCTACCTACCTCCACATGCGTGCACGCACACAAACACGCACACGTTATTTATTTATTTATTTTTAAAAGGAGGAGCCGGGCATTGGTGGCGCATGCCTTTAATCCCAGCACTTGGGAGACAGAGGCAGGCGGATCTCTGTGAGTTCGAGGCCAGCCTGGTCTACAAAACGAGTTCCAGGACAGCCTCCAAAGCCACAGAGAAACCCTGTCTCGAAAAAAAACCAAAAAACAAAAAAAAAAACAAACAAAAAAAAAGGAGGGCCAACAAGATGACTCAGCAGGTCAAGGCACTTGCTGTGCAAGCCTGACGGCCTAAGTTCTCTCCTAGGAAGCCATGTAAAGGTAGAAGGGGAGAATAGACGTCACGGAGTTGTCCTCTGACCCTGGCACATATGCCCATGGATGCACATCATTCTCACGCACGTGCACACACACGATAATAAATAAATAGAATTGAAAAACGAGTGAGTTATTAAATTCTGTGTCTCCAAAAGCCAGTAATAAGGTGTTAGTTAGGTCTGGTGATGGTTATAGTCCTAGCTATCAGGAGACTAAAGCACGAAGATAGTGAGTATGAAGCCAGCCTGGGCTACAGAGTGAGTTCAAGGCTAGCCTAGTGGGATCCTGCCTAAAAATAAAAAGTAAATCGAGGACTTGTGCTGTAGCTCAGAGGCAGAATGTTGGAAGTTTGTCCAGGATGTTTAAGTGCAATCTCTCATAACACACACACACACACATGTACACACACACACACACACTCACATTCCTACCTTTGCAGTCTATGTTTTACCTAAAACACTTTGTCCAGGAAGTCTCTGGTCATTCTGGGTACCAAAGCCATTACCCATCCTGGAATTTCTGCTTACCTGACCCGAGGCTGAGGACTGGTCCCCTACACAGGTTAGCACCTTGCTTCCGCATTAGAGAGAAGCCCTTTGGGAGCAGAAGGTACCCGGGCTTCCGTTTCTCTGCACATTTAGTGATGAGCTGTACACTGAAGGAACTGCTGGCAGGACTTTGTGAGCATCAGTCGTCTGGTTCTCACATCCCTCTGCTGCCTGTCGCTGGCACCCACAGTGGGAAACCACAGTAAGATGTAGGTGAGATGAAATCCACTTCCTGCCACTGTGTTTCCTCTCCAAAGCCATAGCCATGAGCACAGCGCTGGCAAGCGGCCCAAACAGAGTCAGACTTCTAGGAACAAAGTGTTTTCATGCCTTCATTTCATTCATTCATTCACTCATTCATTCACTTATTAATTAGTCTATTTCAAGTCAGGGTCTCACTCAGTTGCCCAGGCTGGCCTATAATATACTATTTCTATCTCAGGCTGTGTTGGGGACTGCTAGAACCTTGAACAAAATGGAGTCTGTCAACCGTTTCTTGGCCTTCTGACTACGTGACTACGAGCACACATGCCCTTGAGACAAAGGAAAAGGCTAACCATAAAAGTTAAATTTACACAGGGCAGCCCACCCGCCTAGCCAGAGGGAAGTACCCTTACAGAGTAATTGTCTTTGTTAACAAAATTATAGTGTTCTTCTGTACACTTCCTATCCTTCCCTAATTCCTGCACCTGACTTACACTGACAAGCATTTGTGGAATGTAACTAATGACTGATGGAAAATTACAGCTTTGTCTTTACCGTATTTGGTGTATATTTGAATTGAGACTTGATTGACATGCTTGTACCACCCCCTGAGGTCCTTCCTCTATAAGTTCCAGCGCGCCCCAAAAATAAAGGCTCTTGATCAGCGAACGTTGTCTTGAGCCTGTTTCCATTAACCTCTTGAAGTTCACTTTCCAGATCGGATCTGCTCGTGAAGGCCCACTAAATTAGTAGCGACCCTCATCACCTCACCCCCGCGGGTCGGGGGTCCCTTCCCGGGGGTCGCAAGGCTGGTCTTGAACTTATGATCCTTTTCCCTCAGCCTCCCAAGGTGTGGGCCACAGTTTTATTATGCATCCCAGGGTGGCCTTCAGTTAATTTCTGGCTATTTTAGGTCGATCTTTCTAGACAGATGTAGCTCAGGCTGCCTCAAATTTATTATATAGCCAAATATGACCTTGAAACTCAAGTCCCCCTGCTTCTGCCTTCCTAGGGCTAGGAACAAAACTGTGCACCAGTACACCAGGTTGTGCAGTGCTGGGCATCGAACCTAGGGCTTTGTTGAGTCATCGAGGCCTGGAACCCACAAGAAAGTGCAGAGTAAATGAATGCTATAAAATTTTCCTCTTAACCTCCATATGTATACCTGCATTTACACACAAAGGAATACACACACACACACACACACACACACACACACACACACACACACGGTAATATTTTTAGATATATTTATTTTGTGTGTATGAGTGTGTGTGTGTGTATGTGTGCTTGAATAAATGTCTGTGCATGACACATGTGCCTGGTGCCTGTGGAGAGCCAAGAGGGTACTGGATTCTGTGCAACTGGTGTTCCGGATAGTTGTGAGCCACCATGTGGGTCCCCTAAGAACTGTCAGTGCTCTTAGCTGCTGAGCCGTCTCTCCAGCCCCTGATAACAATGTCTAAAGCAATTTTTAAAGGCCCAAGAGTCAGCCCTGTAGCAGGAATTTGAGGAGCACCACAGGGGAGCATGAAGCTGATGGCCTACGTGAGCTGACAACACAGGGGAGCTGGGGACCAAGAAAAAGCTGGCAAACTCCTCAGTCCTTTGCCGGATCCAGCTTTGCCAGAAGGTATCCAACCTCCAGTCTCTTCTAGAAAATGAACGTTGTTGTTGAAACCTATTTGCACTGCATTTTCTGGACATGTGACTCCTGACCACCCCATCGTCTCTTCTATCCAGGCTCTGGGCCTCATTCTAGCCCCACCTATCCCCAAAGCCACACGAGTCAGTCTTTTGGCCTTACCTTCCAACACAGTGAGGGCCAGGGTTGGTAGGTGTACCGGACTAGGGGTCCTTCTGGGTTATCGCTGAGAGTGGTACCCACAAGGTCTCGGTAAAAGAGATTAGGGTAGGAATCGACCCCATACCACGTATTTTCATCCGCGTTGGTGCCGTGGCTACAGACACAGGAGCGACTGCAGCTCATCATGGATCCCTGTGGGCACAAGGTACAGGATGGAGGGAGATCAGCAGAGTTGCCATGGCAGCCCTCTCACCGTGATTCACCACTTCTCACTGCCGGCGGCTCCTTCACCCTTACAGTCCATAGCCTTTCAGCATCCCCTTGGTTCCCCGAGTCCTTCGGGCGTGAGTCAGTAGTTTTTAGACGGATGCTGTCTGTCCATCTGCCTGTTTTCTCTGCAGACGACCCAGCAGCCAGAACGTGGCTCTGGAACCTTACTGGTGGACTGCGACCCAACCCCGCACGTGGTTGATTTGATTTTAGACGTGTACTGACCTCTCAGATCTTCCTTGTCTGTAAAATAGGGCTAGTAATGACGACTCTTTCATTCCAGGGGCTACTGTGGCTTATTTTGGTGTGTTCTTCTTAAAATGTATTTGTTATGCATGTGTGTGATGTACATGTACGTGCATGGGAACATATGTGGAAGTCAGAGGAAGACTTGCAGGAGTCGGCTCCCCTTTTACCATGGCGGTCCTGGGGCTTGGCTCTGGTCATCACCTTGAGCAGGGTACTTGTTCTGAAAAGCAAGGTGGATCTAGGACCCTTTTCACCTTCAATCAGTGTGCCCCCAGGATCCCTTCGTGTACACACACACACACACACACACACACACACACACACACACGAGTGGTGGTATCTCACGCTCCACTCTCCCCGCAATTCAAGGGAAGGAAGGAAATTAAAGGAGTAAAAAACAAGCGAAAACAGAATGATTAATGGTAGACGCCAATGAGTAGCAGAGACCTAAAAATGAGGGCTAGGCAACAGGACTGCAGAGACTCGAGGAGAAGGTGGAAACAGGCATGACCAGAGCTGAGACCTCCGGGCCCGGGGCTGGGGACGCTGGGGATGAAGATGAGTGGAGCTGGAGGGCTGTAGGAGACTCCATAAGGGGAGGGTAAAGTAGAAGCCCGGAAGGGGCGGTGAGGGACACAAGGATAATGGGCCAGAGCAAGTCCCTCCCTGTAATTCATGCTCGCCAGGGCCCCAAAGGCAAAGGATCGGTTCATCCTGCTGATGGGGAGAAGGAAGGTGACCTTGACTAGTTTCCCCTCCTCCTCCCATCTTAGGGTAGGGGTGGGGGTGTGTGTGGAGAGGACAGGGAGCGACAGGATGCTGAAGAGCCCGGGGGTTGCCATGGAAACATCCAGGAGTGTGTTCCTAACCTGCAAAGGGAGAGACTTGATGGAAGCGAGTGGGAAGAGGAAGAGGCTGCGTGGGTCGGGGCAAGGAGCTCTGCAACGGCGCAGGCCAGTCTGGAAGGAGACAAGCCTGTAGGCGAGATGACTCCCTGAATCTGTCCTTAGGCACGCCCACCCCAGCGCAGCTGGAAAGAAGGAATCAGGAACACCGCGTCACTCTCTAACATGACCACCCTTTGGGGCGAAATAAACTGCGTACTTTCCCAGGAGGGAAACTGAGGCACGGCGGAATGGGAATACGTTATTAGAGAGGTGCGGGTGAACTCGTCCCTGGAGCCTCTGTCGCTCTATGAACCCCGGGGTGTCAAGGCCCACAGTGCCAAGGGGCGCTCTATCGCCTCCACTTCCCCAAGCAGACCTCGCTCTGGCCGGACACAATCATACCGGGGATGCTAGAGGAATGTGCGTGGGGGGGGTCCTAGGAGCAGGGGAGCCAGCTGGGCAGGGGTTGAGCCGCATGGAGCAGGGACTGAGCTCACCTTTGCGTCTGTGTTTCCGGAGCCAGCAGAAGCTGTCGGAGCTGGAGCAGAGCAAAGCGAGTTTGCTTCGCGCAGGCGCGGCAATCCCAGCCCGGGCGGGGGGTGGAGTGGGCTGGGAGGAGGTGATACTGAGGGAAGGGGAGGGAGGTGGGAGTTCCTCCGACCCCAGAGGTTGGTTCGGCAGACTGTAGTCCTACGCAGATCCCCAACCCTTGCCCTGGCCTGGGTTCCCTTCTCCCTCTTCTGAGAGGCTCTTGGGCATCTTTGGGGTGCTCCAACTCCTCAGCCCTGACTCCTCTCACAGGAGCCTCTCACAGTGTGTCCTCACTGTATCTTTAGAGCCTCCTCTGGGTGGGTCTCCATCCCTCCAGATGCCCCTAACCCATACAGAAAACCGACAGCTGGGCCCGCGGATGGCGCTTTCAGTGCTTACATGAAGCATACGCTTTCTACCCCAGCACCTTGTAAACCTGGCATGGAAGCACATGTCTATGTTCCAGCACTCCAGGGGTGGAGGCAGGAGGATCAAAAGTTCAAGAGCATCCAGCCTGGGCTACATAAGACCCTATCTCAAAACAAAACAAACCCTACATCTTAAGCCAGCCTGGAGGTGCCTATCAACAATGAAGGCTGAGAATCTCCACCTGGGCTGCACAACAAGACCTTGTCTCAAAACAAGAAAACCTGCAAATCTCAGGATCCTCTCAGGGCCTCCAATCTCTGCAAGGCCTTGGCTATCACTGAGCCTGGTCTCTGACACTTCCTGGGGAAGTCCTTCCTACTGCCACCAGCTTCCCCTAATCTCACTCCCTCTCCCTTTCAGTGCCCACCATCCTCATTCTGTTCCGTGTCCTTTCTCCTTTGAGTCTCCACCCCACACTAAGGATTGGTTGTCCTCACCTTGGGGTGGGGGTGGGGGAGTCCATGGCACAGCCTCTTATGCTCCATCCCTGTTTAGCTCCAGTGCTGTGGTGGGCAGTGCTTGGCAGTGGCATCCCCCTTAGGGAGTCATCCTTGGCTAGGCATTGACTCCATGTTTTGTCATGCGCTTGCACATTTACTGTGTGGTCCTGGTACCTCTCTAAGCCTCATCGGAGACCCCCGCCCATGTCTGCCTTCATATCTTAGTATCTGTGGTGGTTTGAACAGGAATGGTCCCCACAGACTCATATATTTGAATGCTGAGTCACCAGGGAGTGGCCCTATTTGAAAAGGATTAGGAGGTGTGGCCTTGGTGGAGGAAGTGTGACACTAGGGGTGGGCTTCAAGGTTTCAAAAGCCCATGCCAGATGCAGTCCCTCTGCCTGCCTGCCTGGGGATCAGGGTATCAAGTTCTCAGTTACTGCTCCAGCACCATGTGTTCATGATGCTGTCCATAATGGACTAACCTCTGAAACTGTAAGCCAGGCCCCAACTAAATGCATTCTCTTTATGAGTTGCCATGGTCATGAGGTCTCTTCACAACAACATCGATTCCGTTGCTCCTTGTGCTGGAGGCGAGGGACATCATGCTATGCATGATTGTACTATGTTTCTTTTTCCGTATTGTATCCCCACGTTCCCCATATGTGTTTTACTGTGTCAGTATTTACTGAACACAGACTAGTAAAAGCCACAAACAAATGATGCTCATTATGTGTGAAGAACTTTGTATGTACTACAGTACTTACATAACTCGTGTGTGTGTTGGGGAGTACCCTCATTGGGAGCAGGACGAAGGGAATTTGAGGACGACTGATGTTGTCATAGTGGGATGGAAGAATTTCTAGAGGCGATGGTGAGATATATTGCCAAGTGGGGCCAACGTGATGGTTTATACTAAATGTCAGTTTGACAAGCTCTTTTATCACTTTGTATTTGGACAGATCTCATATCCATGAGGGGCTACCTAGATTAAGTTAACTGAGATGGGAAACTCACATTAAGTGTGGACAGCACCATTCCTGGCCTGGGGTCCTGCACTGTAAAAAGGAGAATTCTAGTTCAACACGCCATTCTCTGCTTCCCAGTTGCTGGCAGCATGTCATCTGCAACCTCAGGCTCCTGCCACCATGATTTACCTGTGATGGTGGTCTGTGCTCTAAGACTGTCAGCTGAAATAAACTCTTCCTTTAGTTGCTTTTTCCTGGTGGGTAGAATAGGTATTTTGTCACATAATCTGTAACTAATGCAAAAGGAGTGTCCATTGTATTGTACCCTTTGCCCACTATGGGAAGAAGGTGGCCACTTGGGTGAGGAACAGATAGGAGGCTGTGAGCTGAAATCAGGGGAGGAGACCCAGCTTTGACTCTTGATTCTGCCACTTGCAGCTCCTACGGTGTCACTACTCTGAACATTATTATCTGTCCATCAAATGGAGGTATCTGCCTCTTAGAGGGTTTGAAAGAGTGAAATGAGACTTGCTTACAGCAAGGTGTTCAGCGCTCTTGGGGTGGAGTAAGAACATAGTCAATCTGTTGTTACCATTGTTGTCCCTTGTTGTTTTGTTTACTTGTTTTTAGAAATGGGTGTCACTCTATAGCCCTGGAACTCCCTATATAAACCAGGCCAGTCTCCAGCTCACAGAGATCTGCTTGCCTCTGCCTCCCAAATGCTGGGACTAAAAGCATACACCACTGTTCTGAATATTACTTTAACTGTAAAGATGTGTTACTGTAGTTTTTTTTTTAACTCTTTGACTCTCTGCTCTTTTGGGGGACCCACCATCAACTCCCAAATAAATACAGAGACTTATTATTACTTATTAATGCCTGCTGTTAGCTTGGCTTATTTCTTGGCAGCTTTTCTTTTATTTTTTGGCAGCTTTTCTTAAATTATCTTGTTTACCTTTTACCTCTGGGCTCTTATCTTTCTCTATTCTATATGCCTTTCTTTACTTCTTACTCTATGGCTTGCTGTGTAGCTGGGTGAGTGGCTGGCCCCAACATCCTCCTCTCCCTCTTTTTCTTGTTCCCCAATTTTCTCTTCCCATATTTCTCCTCCTACTTATTCTGTCTGCCAGACAGCCCCACCTATCTTTTCTCCTGCCTAGCTATTGACCTTTCAACTCTTTATTAGACCAATCAGGTGTTTTAGACAGGCAAAGTAGCACAGCTTCACAGAGTTAAACAAATGTAGCATAAAAGAATGAAACACATCTTTGCATCATTAAAACAAAGCTTCCACAGCATAAGCAAATGTACACATCTTCAACTAATATTCCACAACAGTTATGTGTTTATGTTGCAGATTCTTACTTTAACTATGTAAATATATGCTGAATTTTTACATTGCATTTATCTAACTAGGCAAAGATGTGTTACATTTATGTTGCATTGTTTGATGTAAAGATATGTTGCTGTTTTACCTTGCCTGCCTAAGCACCTGATTGGTCTAATAAAAAGCCAAATGGCCAATAGCTAGGCAGTAGAGGGATAGGCAGGCTGGTGGGCATAGAGAATGAATAGGAAGAGAACTCTATGCTTAAGAGGAGAGAGAGAAAGAGAGAGTAAGGGATAGAGAGGAACATGCCTGGGGCCAGCCAGGCAGCTGCCAGACAGACAGACACAGAGTAGGACATACAGACAGAAAGAAGAAAGGAAGGAAGGAAGGAAGGAAGGAAGGGAGGGAGGGAGGGAGGAAGGCACAAAGTCCCTAGGCAAAATTTAGATGAAGAGAAACCGGCTAAAATAAGTGATAAGAGCTAGTGGGACAAGCGTAAGATAAGGCTGAGCCTTCATAACTGATAATGAGTCTCTGTGTCATGATTTGGAAGCTGGCCAGTGGCCCAAAAGAAAGCCTGCCACATGCCAGCTCACCTGGGTGTCCCTTAGTTTGTTTAATATTTTATGTGTGAGTATTTGCCTGCATGTATGTTGGTGTGTCCACTGCTCTTGGAATGGACTTGAGTTTGGTTCCCAGTGCCCATGTCTGATGGTTTCGACTGCCTGTAATTCCAGCTTCAGGGGATCCAATGTCCTCTTCTGGCCTCCTTGGATCCCCATACATTAACACAAACACACAGAGAAATATACACTAATTAAAAATAAATAAAAATAGGGGCTGGAGAGATGGATCAGTGGTTAAAAAACTCTCTGCTCTTGCAGAGGACTCAGGTTTATCTCCTAACACCCAGGTTGTGTCTCACAATCATCTAAAACTCCAGTTCCAGCAGATCTGGAACCTTCTGACCTCTAAGGGCACCAGGTGATGCAGGCAAAACATCATACACACAAAATAAAAACTTAAAAATTAAAAGTAAATCTTTTCTTAAAGGGAACGTGAAGAATTGGAACAATCAGTCACAGCAATGGTTTTTAGGTTTTGTGAGACTCAGCCCAGGCTGCTCTTGAAGCAAGGGTGACCTAGAACTCTCGATCTTTCTGTCTCTGACTCCCAGCTAGTTAATGAAATTCCCATGAGTTTAATAACCTGTAAGATATGAACTTGAAAATGGTTATGATAATTAAGATATGGTGAAAATGATTGAGATGAGTGAGATGTGGCCACACAGGCCTGTAATCCCAGCACATGAGAAGTGGAGGCAGGAGAATCGGGAGTTCAAGGCCAGCTTCCTTTCACCACACGCCAAGTTTGAGATCAGAGGCTAGGGAGATGACTCGGTGGCTAAAACACGTGTAACACAAGCGTGAGGACCTGAGT